CGAAGTTGGACACTTAACCAACTGAGCCACCCAGGTGCCCCAGGTGAGAATAATTCTTAACCCAGGGATTAGGCCTGGTACATGCATAACAGTGTCCAAGAAATGTTTGTTGAGTGAAGGAGTGAGTGAATTATTTTATTAATTTAAGGTACAAATAAAAAGAGGCAGAAAGCTGGGGCACCTGGGTGGCTCAGTTGGTCAAGCGTCCGATTCTTGGTTTCCGCTCAGGTCGTGATCTCATGGTTTGTGGGTTTGAGCCCCACATCAGACTCTGCAGTGCATGTTCACACAGACTCTCCACAGCATGGAGCCTGCTTGACATTCTTTCACTCCCTCTCTCTCTCTGTCCTTCCCCCGCTCACTCTGTCTCTCTCAAAAAATAAATAAGTAAGGCTAAGAAAAAAAAGAGGCAGAAAGCTAAGAATTGTCTGAAGTTCTGAGATGGTTGAACTAACGCTGACACTGGACAGAGGGAAATCCAAGGGATAACATCATGAAACGCAAATTTCCTTTAAAAAGCCATATCTCTTTGGGGCGCCTGGGTGGCGCAGTCGGTTAAGCGTCTGACTTCAGCCAGGTCACGATCTCACCGTCTATGAGTTCGAGCCCCGCATCGGGCTCTGGGCTGATGGCTCAGAGCCTGGAGCCTGTTTCTGATTCTGTGTCTCCCTCTCTCTCTGCCCCTCCCCCGTTCATGCTCTGTCTCTCTCTGTCCCAAAAATAAATAAACGTTGAAAAAAAAAATTTTTTTTTTAAAAAAATAAAAAAAAGGCATATCTCTTTAAGGTTTCATAGTAGGAGATGTCAACAGGAAGAGATTCCTCTGGAGGGAGGGGGAGAATGGGATGGCTCTCAGCTCCAGGGGTTAAGATAGGTGGTCCTAGCTCTGCTGTGACTGGGCTCTAGGGCCTGGAACAAGTGGGTTCATATCTGTGCTATCTTCTGTTCAAACGCAAAACAAGGGAGTTGGGAGTAGATTATTTCAATGGGCCATTCTGGCTCTAACATTGTGTAATTTATAATTCTGCAATTTCCTGTCTGATTACCAAGATATTCATTGTGTTGAAACTGCATATACAGAGACATAAAAAATGGTGTCCTTTCTCTAAGAGTCCTACAAGTTATTGGTAAAAATGTGAGTATTAAGAATACAAGATTTAGGGGTGCCTAAATGAGTGGCTCATTTGATGTCTGACTCTTGATTTCAGCTCAGATCATGATCTCATGGTTCATGGGTTCAAGCCCCCCATTGGGCTCCACACTGACAGCACAGAGGCTGCTTGGGATTCTTTCTCTCTCCCCCTTCTCTGCTTGTGTGTGCGCTCTCTCTCTCTCTCAAAAGAAATAAATAAACTTTAAAAAAAAATCTATGGGCACCTGGGTGGCTCAGTTGGTTAAGCCTCCAACTTTGGCTCAGATCATGATCTCTTGATTCATGAGTTCAAGCCCCTCATCAGGCTCTGTGCTGTCAATGTAGAGCCTTCCTGAGATCCTCTGTCTCCCCCTCTCTCTGCCCCTCCTCCCTTTGTGCCTGTGTGCAAACATGTGCTCTCTCTCACAAAAATAAACATTAAAAAACTTTTTTAAATCTATCTTCCTTAAAAAAATAAATAAAAATAAATTCAAGATTTAAACTATAAAAAGTAGTTTGCAATGATTATATTCCTCACAAAAATGTATTGGCCAAACTATTAAGTCACAAGCAGATTTGTAGGGGATAGAACTAAATACCCCATACACTGACACATTTTGAGAAAAATAATACTCTGTAGTTTTAACCTGTAAGAGGCCAAAAAAAAAAATCAGATAAATAAAAATTATAATATTAAAGTTATTCAGTAGTAAATGTAATTGTTATAAATGGATGTAATATATTTAACAGTATTTAATTATTAAATATATTTAGGTATTAAAGTAGTAACTAATAGTAAACATCATTTATAGTAAAATAAATCTTTTTTTTTTCTCTTTATTTTAGTTAAGTATGAGAATGAAGCTAGTCAATATTGGGATACATTTTATAAGATTCATAAGAATAAGTTTTTCAAGGATCGTAATTGGCTGTTGAGGGAATTTCCTGAAATTATTCCAGTTGATCAAAAAACTGAAGAGAAGACACAAGAATCATCATGGGATAATGTGAAAACTGGTGCTGCAAATTGTTTCTCAAGAACGCACTGCCCTATTATGCCTGAAGAAAAAAATCTTGGTATGAAAAGGTGTGGTTCATCAGATGGTCCAAGCAAAGCAAGGTCTCATTTTTCCAACCTAGACTCTGAAGAACACAGCGAAGGACCTCTGAAGACCAAATTGTTTCCTGGTAGCAGTGCCACTTTCAGAATCCTTGAGGTACTGTCCTACAGGGGCAAAGATGGGAGGTGGCAAATAATTTTAAAATGTATATTGCATATTACTTTATTAATGATCCAGATTTTTTAGGGGGAATAATGATCAAATCTAACTAGAAAAGGGTTCAGTATGCCTTTGTGCATAAAAAATATTGAAGGGACTCACATGTATAATCAGGCTCTAAGTTTGTGATTTTAATTTTTTTTTTAATTTGTTTTCATTTCTAATTTGAAGGCAGTTTTAAATACCAGTAAAGTTTTGGCCTTAATTTCTGTCTCTTTCTGTTATTACCCCTTTTTAAGTGAAATAGAAATAAGTGAGATATAATTAGCTATAATCCAGTGTAGACCTTGACTTTCTTTCTTTTT